ATATTCCTTTTATTTATTCCCTTTGTCAGGAGGTAGGTAATCAAAAGAACCTAGTTTTGTGAATAGAGAGAGGACAGCTCATGTAGATGAATTGCTTCTTCTGTAGAAGACATCTTCTGATGTGGGATAAAGCAGCATTGAATCCTGACTGTGATACTGCACGTCAATCCAGCGTTCCTCTCACAGGACAATCTTTTAGGACTGATCCTGCTTTTCACTCATTTATCACTTCACTGTATTTTCCTGTGGTGTTTTGTTTGTTGTTTTTTTTTTTTCCCAAACAATTGTCAGTTTCTGGCCTTGTTAATGTTTTGTTTGGGGTTTTTTTTCCCCAAACAATTGTCAGTTTCTGGCCTTGTTAGTTGCCTTGGGCTGGGCACACTGCAGCACCTCGGCTCAGGTGAGGGGAACCACTTCTGGCATTACTCATTACTTGAAACGGGAAAGGCGTAACACCTTTGGAAGGACAGGATGAAATCCACTGAAGGAGGATCTCTCCCTCCAAATGTGATCTTTTAAATGCCCCCCTTTTTAATAGCTATTTTAATGATTCCAAGTTTGCAATTGCCCAAATTTACTGTTGTCATCAAACGCAGGGTTTTTTCAAAGGAGCTTATTGCTATTAATGAAACCACCACAGTGTACTATAGCGATTTAAGCACTTTAAAAAGACCTTGTTTCTCCTTTGGCTAATACTACCCCAATTTGCTTTAATGCACTTCCTTTACTTCCGATGATGACACCCTATTTCCATGAGTACTTCAATTCCCAGTGTTGACACGACTCTTCAGCATTCTCGCCCTTCACCTTCTCCTTGTTTTTTCAGAGGAACCGCACGTTTCCCCTGCGTGGGACACCTTTTAGCACCTCCAGCTCCCGGTGCCTCCCTAAGACCCCCTGACTCTTACAATTCCCCAAAACCTGCTTACCTGCAGTCTTTTCCTGCCGAACCACCAACCCTGTTCCTACCAGGGCAGTCCCAAACCATTAATTAACACTTGATCCTCGGCTTTACTCTTTAAAAGTCCAGCTGGCTCTCCTGCTGACCACAGAATCACAGAATCTTGGAAGGGACCTTAAAGATCATCTTGTCCAATCGTCAACCTAACTTCGTCAAAAATAGACACCCACACAACAAACAAGGAGCATCATCACTAACCCATACCTCCCAGCACTACATCAACCCGTCTTTTGAACACCTCCAGGGATGGTGCCTCAACCACTTCCCTGGGCAGCCCATTCCAATGCCTGATAACCCTTTCAGTGAAAAAATTTTTCCTAATATCCAGCCTGAACCTCCCCTGGCGCAACTTGAGGCCATTTCCTCTTGTCCTGTCGCCTGTGACTTGAGAGAAGAGACCGACCCCCACCTCTCTGCACCCTCCTTTCAGGGAGTTGTAGAGAGCAATAAGGTCTCCCCTCAGCCTCCTCTTCTCCAGGCTGAATAACCCCAGCTCCCTCAGCCTCTCCTCATAAGACTTGTGCTCCAGACCCCTCACCATCTTTGTCGCCCTTCTCTGGACCCGCTCCAGCACCTCAATGTCTTTTTTATGGTAGGGAGCCCAAAACTGGACACAGTACTCGAGGTGAGGCCTCACCAGTGCCGAGTACAGGGGGACAATCACCTCTCGGGCCCTACTCCTCATCCCGTTGGTCTCGGCCCATCCATCCAGCCTGTCGAGATCTCTCTGCAGAGCCTCTCTACCCTCCAGCAGGTCGACACTGCCACCCAGCTTGGTGTCGTCTGCGAACTTACTGAGGGTGCACTCGATCCCCTCGTCCAGATCATTGATAAAGATGTTAAAGAGAATTGGCCCCAGTACCGAGCCCTGTGGGACACCACTCGTGACTGGATGCCAGCTGGATTTAACTCCATTCACCACCGCTCTCTGGGCCCGGCCCTCCAGCCAGTTTTTAACCCAGCAGAGGGTATTCCCATCCAAGCCACGGGCAGCCAGTTTCTCCAGGAGGATACTGTGGGAGACTGTATCAAAGGCTTTGCTGAAGTCCAGATAAACAACATCCACAGCCTTTCCTTCATCCAGCAAGCGGGTCACTTTGTCATAGATCAGGTTTGTCAAGCAGGACCTGCCCCTCGTGAACCCATGGGTGTCCTTCATGCGGCCCCTTCTGCTCCCGCCCGCCCCGGGGAGGACACCCTGAGGTCCTTGGCGAGGCCCCGGGGCGGCCCCTCGGAGCACCGGGCTCGTTGGACATCCTGGGGAGGGGGAGACCGGGCCCGGCGCCGTTGTGTCCCGTTCCCCCCCTCCTTCACCGCCGCCCCGGGGAGCCACCTCAGGGCGGGGGTGGCGGCGGCGGCGGGCCCAGCGCGGCCCCGGCGCCCCCCTCCGCGCTCGGCGGCGGCTCAGTGCGCAGGCACGGAGCGGGAGCGAGTCGGCGCTCCGGGCCGTACATAATACGTGGTTGTCTGGGGCCGGGGCGGCGCAGAGAGGAGATGGGACCGGGGAGGGAGAGCCGCAGCTAGCGCCGCCGCGGTTGCTCTGCCGGCCCTGAGGGGAGAGGCAAGGAGGGACAGGTAAAACCCCGGGGCCGTTCCTCACGGCAAACTTGGCCTGGGTAGTTTGGGGCGGGGAGAGGTGGGGGAGGCTCCTCTGACCGGCAGCGACCTCACGGAGGAGGAAGGGAAGAGGGGGGAGGCGGACGGCGCGGAGCTTCCCGCGGGGGGGAAGGTGGCGGCCACCCGGCGGGGGGAAAAAGGGTGTACAGCGGGACGCCGAGCTTCGCCTCCCGGCCCGGGGATGGGGGTGAGGGGGAGTCGCGGTCCTCCCCGGGGGGATGCAGGTGGTCGCGGTCCTCCCCGGGGGGATGCGGGTGCCGCGCTGCCCCGCCGCCACCGGGATGGGGGGGGGGAGGGGGAGGCCAGGTCTACCACCGGGAGCTGCGGAGTTCTTCCGCGCTGCCCGGGGGGACGGGTGATGGAGAGCGTCCCGCTCCGGCCTCTGCCCCCGGGCCGCCCCCCGGAGGTTGGGAAGCCGGCGGGGCTTCCTTCCATCCGGGAGGGGATGCCTGTGCCGCACCCCCCGAGCCGCACAGGCCCCGCTTGTACCCCCGTGGGGAGAAGGAGTCGCCCCGAAAAGCAGCCGGGCATCCCCTCGGGGGAACGGCCGCGGCTGCCCCGAGGGGACGGGACCTGCCCGGGGAGCCGTGGCCCCCCGGGGGCTCGCATCGATCTCGGGGGGGTTGGACCAGGCCGAGCCCGGCACCGCTCGGCCCTGGCCCCGGAGGCCGCCCTCAGAAGGCGGGGGGGTTTATTCCGGTGTTTGCTCTTCGCTGGGTTGGGGGGTTCAGGCTTTCCGAGGGGGAAGGTGGTCCCCGGGAGCTGAAGGGTCAAAGCCTGTCGGTCTGGAGAAGGGAGGGAGAGGGGGGACTTCACACCCGTGGGCACATCGGTGTCTGTGGCTTGCCTTGGGGTGGTGTCACGGAGCAATGCATGTCACACATCCTTATTTCCTTGGTCCTGCCCTTCAGATGCCAATTCCTTATGATTTTCATTGGTTTTTTTCCTTTTTTTTTTTTTTTTTTCTTAATGCATCCAGCCCTTCAGGAAAAAAGCAAAGTAGTTGGAAGATCTATCAGGTGATTTTTTCCCTCCGCAGCGTGCTCATCTCTTAATCTGCCCGTTCCCCGATTCGGTCACATCTCCCCAGATCAGATCGGGGGAAGAATAGTAATGCTCAAAGTAAACAGGACAGCTGCTTTTCTGCTTTTTTTTTTTTTTTTTTTTTAAACAAAAGTTGCTAGGGGATGGATCGCTGTGATCGTACATCCCACGTGTTCCCAGGCACCTCGGGGTTTTAGGCGCTGGAAAAAAACTTCTAATGATGAAGGCACTTCCTGGGGCCTGGATGCCCGCGCAGAGCTCGTGCAGATTTGGGTAACGGTGACTTTAACTCGCCATCGGGAAGCAGTAAGTTTCCCAACACTCCAGCATTTAGTTTCTCAGCCGTGAGGGTGAGATATGGAAATGCACGTCAGCCCTGAAGAGATCGGAGCTGCCGCAGCGTTTGTTCACCCGATGCACACTGATGCTGTGACACATGTTTCCTCCTTATTTATAGAGAGCTGTTCTCTCCCACCATACTCTGACTCTTTCACTTCCTCTGCCCCATCTGTAAGTAGCAGGAACAACAGCGTTATATTTACATTGCAGCTGAGAAGAGAGACCATTTTAGGCCAAATTACCAGGCTGCTTCAATGAGTCATATAGGTCTGGGAAGTCTTCTTCCCTTCTCTCTAAGGGACAAGATATTTTGCAAAAGATAGGAGATCACTTATCTTAAGTAGAAGAGTCTGAGCATAAAGAAAATGTTGGGTAGGACTAATGTTATGCAGTGCTTGAAGAGAATTAATGATGCTGGCAGTCTTTTTTTTTTTTTTCTTCCATTTTTAAAAGGTCATACTACTGGATGCTATCACAACTCTTTCAAGCAAAAGATCATCGTTCTTTTGTTTTCTGTTCCACCCCACCCCAGCTCTTACTTATCATTTTGCTCATATGCCTGACCAAAATCACCTATTAGCATTTTAGATTGCTCAGGAGAAAGAACCTATGTGTCATATAAGTGATTCCAGGCTGGATGGTTCTTACAGGCAATTCTTCATCGAGCTGTGAGAAATACCACACCTTCCTTTCTCTCTCTCGATTAAACCTGCAGACAGTGCAGTGAATGCAAGACAGTGTTTATGTGGCTGTCACATTACACTGAGGTTTTTTTAAATTAATTGCAATACCCCTACACCTGCTGGTTCAGCTGGATCAGTGTGCTTCACCTGCTTGCTGAATTCTGGAGAAATCAAAGCAGCTCTAAAACTGTCTCCTGGTGGCAGCTGGAGTAATGCAAGTAATGCTTTGCCAGGCCACACTGTCTGGTCATGTTAGGTCTGGTCCTTCCCTGTGTTGACTTCACAGAGTCACATCCACCTGGGGAAAATGCCTCACTTTCTGCTTATTGTGTGATGCTCAACATGCTTCCCTGAATGAGGAGTTGGGCATAATTTATTTAAGGATGTAGGGTTGATGCGAGAATAAAGATCTAAGTAAGAACCCAAGAGAATGAGTCTCTGCAAGAGCTTTGGGTGGCCTCTTCAGTTTCTTCTCTTTCTGCTGTGGGAGGCAGAGTGCTTCTTTACTCATAACCAAAACAGTGTTTAGGAATATGGGCATAAACAGTTCTTTTCCTTGAGACCTAGGCTGTGTGGCCCTCTGTGTGAGAGCTGGGACAGCTGTGGGGAACTATGCCATTGCTTCATCCTCTCCTTTCACCCTAAGGTATTTTTATGAGGTGAGCAGAACTCTGGTTTTATGAGAACTCTTCAGTGCTTGCCCTGTGGCAGATGGCAGCTAGCCTGAAGAAACGGTGGCAGTGAGAAGAGAGGACTTCTTTTCCTCTTTTTTTCAGGTAGGGAATAAACAGGAGAGGGAGGGACTCACAAGGGAATAGGAAAGGAGCTCTTTTGCACAAGAACAAACAGGCTCCAGAAGAAGAATAACTTTTAGTGTTTCTTCACAAGAGTTCAGATCATATACTTCTATCCATACCACTTTTTTTTGTCCTTCAAAAAGTAATGGTGTTCAAAAGGTCATAGCATTATAAAAGAGAACAGCAAACTAATTTTTTTCAATACATTAACTGTAGTGGGACACGTCAGTGTGAGTGACCTACAACTTGGTCTTGGGTGCCAGGCTCTCCCTGCTCACCTGGTGAGTGGCTGGTGCCACCCAGGAATTTCCTGCTGTCTCAAGGTCTCCATCCACCCTGCCTGCTTCTCTGCCTTGCCTGGGGAGGCCAGCACATGCTCTGGAGGGCACTGGTGCCCTGCCATCAGCAGGGAGCAAGCCCATCCACAGACTCAGAAAGTATTTCCTAACACTTTACCATGGCTGAAGTGGAAAAGGGAAATCTGCAGGGGATGCGAAGGCAAGTTCTGGGTTTGGAGAAGGGGCTCCTGCCAGAAGATGTGCCTGGTGCTACTCCTGCAAAGCTCAGCTGCCACCACTGTCCCCCCCACCTCTCCTGGAGGGAGCTCTGGCCCTTGCCCCCGTGTCACATGGTCCTCCTCCACTCAGTCATGACTTCTGAGAGAGCCTTGAGACCTCCTCACAAGTTGCAAAGGAGATGTTTGCAATTATAAGATGTTGAGATCATGAGATCCCAAGCTAAATACATACTAGATATACAAAATAAATAAAAAACAAGATTACTGGTTTTTATAGTGAGGAGAAAGCAAACCCCTCTTTATCCCCGGGCCAAGAACGCAACCAGATTCCAAAAGGCTGGAAGATCACTGTTGTACCAGCAGTGATTTCAGAGCCAGCCAAGAGCTTCATTCAGGCTATTGCCTTTCCCCATCAATACTTTCTGGCTTCTGCTTAATTAAACCGCAGCAGCATTTGTTTCTCTTGCATACCCAGCAAGATCACCCATTCCTGAAGGGCAGAGGGCTGTAGGGCTGCAAAATTGGGAGGTCCTCACTGCCATGAGCACATCAAACCTTCCTTGCCTCTAAGTAAAATGGCCAAGGCAATCAGGTGGACCGCTTGAAGCTATAAATTGAGCTGTGACATTCAGATGCAAGGACTGATTAACAGTTCCCTTTGGACTAAGACTTTTTGAACTTTTTTAAAAGAGAAGTCAGTCAGGTTAAGTAACATTGACCCATTGCGGTAGTTTTTTTAGGGGCTAGTATTACTTTAGTGAATTCAGTAGCGTTATGCCTGTGCAAGCAAGTTCAGGCCTGGGACCTGCATAGTTAAATACAGATCCTGTGTGTTAGGAGAACTTCAGTGAAGTGGAAAGAGTAGGGAGCATTGTTGGGAGTTGTCATAGCAAGCAAAATTCTGATTTTATTCAAGTCAGCAGGAGCTTTGGCATTGACTTCTCCAAGGGAGCAGTAGTTAGCCATGAGTTTAATCCTTCCATTTTACTGTATTCAGTGAGCAGATTGGTGCTGTTACGGCATTCCATCTTTTTCACTTTTAATTATCCATATTTAAGTACAGGATATATACAGTTTCAATCTCTCTAGGACTTCTTTTGCCTCTGTTCCTCATGGCTGTGAATGTTACATCGATGTTTAGTCCTGCATTTCAAAAGCTCAGGCAAAAACACTTAAAAAAAACCACCTTACCCAGCAGTTGGGAAAGTTCCTAAAGTTGCTCTGGAGAGTTTGTAGCCAGCTTTGCTCCCCCACCACATCAGTAGCGATCTGCTTTGTGTGAAACCTCTCATTGCAGGTAGGAAGGATGAGCTCCTATGCTGACATCTGCGGGTCCAAGCACGCGCAGGGCAGCACCGAGGGAGGTTACCAACGCTATGGAGTTCGCTCCTACCTGCATCAGTTTTACGAGGACTGCACAGCTTCGATTTGGGAGTATGAGGATGATTTTCAGATCCAGAGATCGCCTAGCAGGTGGAGCTCTACGTTCTGGAAGGTACTGCTCGTTGCTGTCTACTGGAGGGAGAAACTCCCATTTCAGGACTTCCCCATGTAACTCATGGTTTTAGGTATTCATGCAGAAGGGCCTTCTGTTGCTCAGTTTTCCCTGAGACGACTGAATGACCATCTGTCTGAAAGCAGGGCTCTCTTCCCAAGATAAATCAGCTTTCTGGGGTCTTTGGATCCTCTAGTTTATCTGTCACAAGGAGCCATGTCACTGAAACATCAAAGTCTTGCTTGGGAAGCCCCACCCATAGCTTGGTAGTGTAATTTATCTCTGCTCTGCACCTGCAATAGTGCTGCCAGGTTACTGGGAATAGGACTGGTAGGTTAACAGTGTTAACTCTGGCACTCTGAGGCCAAGGGATCAAGAAAACCATAAGATCTCCATTAATCTGGCACTCTGAGGGATCAAGAAAACCATAAGATCTCCATTAAGGTCAGGGAACTTGACAGAAAAGGCAGAACACCAGGGGTTGGAAGGAGCCTGTGAGGCCATCTCACCCAACCCCTCTGCTTTGATGGCAAGGCCATTCTGTGTGAACCAAACTCTGCACTTACACTTGTGTGTACGTGCTAGAAATACCCTGAGATCTGTTCACAGCAATGGCAATGCCTTCTAACTCCTGCAAAGGAATGACATTTCATGGAGTAAAAGCAAGTGGTGGACATGACACAGACTGTCAGCAGGGCCTGAACTGTTGGTGCTAACCACCACCTCGTGAGGCCATCTCATCCAACCCCTCTGCTTTGATGGCAGGGCCATTCTGCGTGAACCAAATTCTGCACTTACACTTGTGTGTACGTGCTGGAAATACCCTGAGATGTGTTCACAGCAATGGCAACTTCCTTCTAACCCCTGCAAAGGAATGATGTTTCATGGAGTAAAAGCAAGTGGTGGGTATGACACAGACTGTCAGCGGGGCCTGAACTGTTGGTGCTAACCACCACCTAAAGCTAAAGAAATAGTCAGTCACACAGCACTGGCGTTAAACTGTGACCCTCTCACTGAATTTCACTGAATTTTAGAGTTGGAAGGGACCATAGGGATCATCTAGTCCAACTCCCCTGCTGAAGCAGGATTGCCTAGAGCTAGAGCATGTTACTCAGGAGCATCCAGGCGGGTCTTGAAAATCTCCAAGGAAGGGGACTCCACAACCTCCCTGGGCAGCCTGTTCCAGGGCTCTGTCACCCTCACTGTGAAGAAGTTTCTCCTCATATTTGAGTGGAACCTCTTATGTTCCAACTTGTGCCCGTTGCCCCTCATCCTCTCACTGGGAACCACTGAAAAGAGTCTGGCTCCCTGTGATGAGGCTTTTGGACGTGGATGCTATTTAATTGTAGATGTGCATATTCTATTGTTTCCAGAAATGTCAATACTGAATTACATAAATATGAGTTGTAAAAAGACAGTTGCTCCATATATTCTAGTCCTGGTGAGGCCACATATGACCTAAAAGAAAAATATCAGCTTTCTGCTAGAAGAGACAACTGTACCTACATGACACAGTGAAAGCTAAATGCTTCTTAGGCCTGAAAAGGCATATTAATTGTTTTTTTTTTTGGTTTCTTTCTTTGTTCTCCAGGTCGGACTCATCTCCGGGACGGCTTTTATGCTGATAGGTTTAACGGTTCTGATAGTGGGTTTTCTTGTGCCACCGAAAATCGAAGCTCTAGGGAAGGATGATTTTGTGGTGGTGGATACCCGTGCCGTTCAGTTTAACGGGTCCCTGGATATATGCAAGCTGGCAGGAGCAATCCTGTTCTGTGTCGGAGGGTCCACGGTGGCAGCGTGTCTGCTGATGTCCGCTTTTGCCAAGAGTTACTCCAAAGAAGAAAAGTACCTTCAGCAAAGATTTAAGGAGAGAATAGCTGATATCAAAGCCCACGCAAGCCCAGTCACAAAAGCGCCAGCACCGGGGGAATCAAAGATACCTGTCACTTTGTCCAAAGTTCAAAATGTCCAACCTTTATCTGAAACCTGACCCCTTCCCTTAGGTTTTGTTTCTCGCTTGTAGATCACTTTCACTGGAAAATATCAGCTGTTGTTGGCATACGTGCTAGTCAATTCCAACATCCAGTGCTCTGCTGTACAAACACACAGCTGATGGGGAAGCTGCTCCAACACTAAATTTAGGATTGGTAAAAGGGAAATTATGTGATGAGACCTGTGACCAGTATGTTCAGTGTATTCCAACATTTTAATCTGTGTTGAACCAATAAGTCCTTGCAACAACGATTAGGTGTTTAGCTTATCAAACGGCATCCCTGGAAACCATAGGGTGTGTTTATGGCAGCCGTACCAGGAACATCCTACATCCCACTATTTAAAGTTTAGATGAGTTGGCTTTTTGTTTAATTTTCTTCTTGCCTTTAAGATATTGTTTAGTCTTACTTTCACTGCCTGGTTCTGCTGTCTGGGAAGCCAAGATTCTGCCCTTGTGATTTGCACTTGCCCTCCTGTCACGTGCTAGGGTCTGTAGCAAAGTATTAGTGCACAGGTAAAACACACGTGACAGTGAGTGCCCTTAATTTCACCCTGGCACGTGTCCCTTCCCAGAAATGCTACTTTATGGGAAAGGCAAGTTATAATTGATTCCGAGTTACAATTAATCTGTGCAAAACGGCCACATTTGTCTTAGTCATTGCCATATTGCCAAAAAATGCAAAGTAAAGATAAGGGATTTATAGTGGAGGAGGAACATCATACTTGAGTATCTTTAGTTTGATATTGTTTGTTTCATTATATCCTATTATGTTTGAAGCTCATACAAAATGTTTTAGTTTTTGGCTGGGTGAGGATTACTAAATGTGGTTTGAAATGCCCAGGCCCCATGTTCTGTCAGTACCTGAATGCCATGTTAGGTGACCTTAACATCCTTATCTACAAACATTTTGAAATGCTGTTTATATTTTTATAGAGGATAGAAAAAGTTACGCTTAACCAGATACATCTGTGTAAACGCTTACCTGAAGACTTGTCCTTTCATGAAAGACCCTTAATTATTTTCCCACCCAGGGCAATTATTTCACAGTCTTAATCTATGGATTTAAATTAAACTGTATAAAGAAAGATGTGACGTTTGTACTCTCTGACAATATGTGCCACCTTATAGTTCTGTCTATTTTTTTGAATGGATTGAATAAAATTCTAGGCGTGAGCCAACCATGGATTTTGTGAAAAGTCTCTTTCTAGTCAAACAGGTTTCTCTATAAATTTAATATTTCAGTTTGAAAGGAGAGGTTAGCAGTTGAAACTCACAGTTTCTTAATGCAGTCTGGGTTTTTGGCTGTCCTAGGTGATGAAGTCACTTTGGTGGTGAATAGAAAAAAAAAAAAAGATTCCAGTGCACTGACAATAGGTGCCTGGTAACAGCTGGGCTCTTTCCCTTGCTGATAAAACATTTTGCTGTCTGTGACTGGGCTCATACTTCCATAACTAAAATAAACCAGAACATAATGTGTTTGGAAGTTTCAGCTGAACCTGCAATAATTAGCGTGGCTGACGACAGCGTCAGAGGTAATATTTTCTTCTGCAAAGAAAAGTGCCTGTCTTAGCAAGGCAAGTGCAATGCCCAAACATCAGCAGTGAGAAGAGGGAGAGTCAAGAGCTCATCAGGCGCACGTGATTCCAGGGAATGGAATTCCAGAGAATGAGTTTTGGTGCCATCTGACAGTTTGGTGGCACCCACGTGCGAGACGTGCAAAAGCGCATCGCTTAATGCTTAAAAATAAGGTTGTAATCTCAGGGTTGAAGCAGATGAAGCTGTGCTGAAGAGGAAAAGATGAGGAGAGTGGTAAGGTAAGGAGCTGTGCGTTATTTATCAAGGAAGCAGCACAAACAGGGGTGGTGGGTAGCAATTCCTCACAGGGCTGGGACACGGGGATGGGCTGTCACTGCTGCCACCCATTCATTAGTTACTCCAGGTGGAGAGGGTCCTCAGCACTCGCTTTTCAGGTTGGGAGGAATTTTGTTTACTGCCATTAGCTTCCACTGCTGGCGGCGCGTGGGCAGCGGAGAGTCAAGCTGTCCTGACCTTTTCAGTGGAGAGGTTTTAATTAAAAATTGTGTGCGTGGAGGAAATGTGACATTTTAAGTTCAACAGCGAAGTTCACCGCAGGAGATGAGAGCGAGGGCTCCTGTAGCTGTTGCCGAGTCCCTTCTCTCCACCTCCCTTTTTGTTAACTGGGAGTTTGGCTGAAAAACCAGCTGGGAAGGAAAGCACAGGTCAGGCTTGTTCTCCTTAAAACACCTCAAACGCAGATGGACCCGTGCAAGCTTTGCTAAATGTTGATGCAGAGGAGAGCTGAGCCGCCAGGTAACGAGCAGAGCTGATAACGAACACCAGGCACTCGGTCACGTCGCGTGTCGCTCCTGCAGAACTGAACATCCTTTGCCAGTACAAGAGAGGATGAGTCATGCCTGGCATCACCCAGGTGCTAGGGGGAAGAAATAAAAAAAAACAACAACAAACTACAAAAAAAAACCCACCCCAAAACCCTCAAGGATTTGACTGAAGCTTGCTGAGGTAGGAAAGGCATTTGGGATTTGTCAGCAGCGAAGCTGGTAACGCCGTCACGGGTAACGCTGCCACACACATTTCACCTCATTAAACCCTCGTTTCAGTTGCTTAGAGCTTCTCCAGACTCGAGACCTCCGGAGGCTGCAATCCTTCACAGCAGAGAGTCAGTGCCACACAGGGCTTTTTGTAGAAATGCTGAGCAGAAAATGACTCTGCTGCTATTAAGAAGCCACACACTGGAAACTTTTAAGACACACGCGAAACGTTTTTGAGATCCATTTCCTTGTGATGTTTTAACACCTTCATCCTTTGGTGCAGGAACAGAAGCGTCAGCGAAAGAGCAGCCGAGATGGGCTTTTTTGCTGGTTTTAGGGAAAATGCTGTGATGGAGCCTCCAGCTGGGGAGCGGCGAGGGGCAGCCACGCTCTTCCAGGGAGGCTGAGGCCAATCTGTCCCTGCAGGTATCGTTTCCCTACCACATATCTTCTTCCCTTTTCCCACCCCCAGCAGATCCCAGTGCACGCTCCTCTTGAGGGCTGCCCCTCCTGGCACTGGCTGCCCCCACCTTTTCAGAGAGCACATCAATGGACCCCCTAGTGCTACTGAAATACAGCTTGAGCAGCCAAGCTCTTCTTTTTCCAGCCCTCTGACCTCTCCACTAAGGAGGCTTCTTTCAGTTTCTTCATGTTCACCTTGTTTCTTGCCTCATTTGGCTTAAAATTTCAATGCCCAGCACCATTTTCTCTGCAATTGTGGTGAAAGAAATCGCATTTTTCAGTCTTGAGTGGTAATCACTGACTTCGTTTTTGTTAATACATGCTCTCCTGAAGGTTAGGTCTGCTTCCCCTACCACACTGTGCAGAGGAGGCTTCTCTTCAGCACCTCTTCTGTCCTCCCCTCTCCCTCCAGGTTGTCTTGACCTCTTTATCTTCCATTTGTTCCCAGCGCACAGTGAATCACAGGCAGAAACGTCCCCTCCTCCCGAGCTGACTGTAAGCACATTTAATTCCTGGTTTCTGCTGCAGCCTCAGCCTGCCATTCCCAAGCATGAGGTTTTTAATCACGGGCAAGTAGAAGCAAACAGCTCTTTGTGACAGCAGCAGCAGAAGAGCAGGGAGGCTGCAGCATCCTCAGCAGCAGCCGGCAGAGACAGAGGTTTGGCCGGGGGAGAACAGAGCAGAACCCACACACCAGGGAGGCTCTTCAGCCCCTGAGGATGTGAAATCCAAGGCAGACAGCAAAAGACCACAAGAACCTCAGTTGGATGCATTTTGCCAGCAGCTCTCTATCAAAGGGCTAACAGCAGAGCAACAATTTTGGTAAAATAAAGGAATTAGCACTTTGGCTCGTTCAGCACTGACCGGTCATCCTGCCATTACACAGCAGGCTGCCTTCTCAGCTCATTGCACCTCAGGGGCAGCGAGGCAATAAGAAGCTCCCTGAGCAGGCTTTGGAGGCATCAACATGCTCCCTCCCTCCTCATCCCACCACTTTGAGAAGCAGCATCTCTGTGGAGCGTTGCCCTGCACCAGCCATTTGGGGTTAATGCCCACGCACCACCTACAGAAGTGACACTTGGGTTTTGCCAGCTCATCCCCAGGGCACAGTTTGTCCCAGAGGGAAAAAATGGGGAGACCCATGTATCCTCCTCTTTCCCATATTCAGAGACCTCACGTGCCCCCTTTGGAGCCTTCTGATCTCCAGGCAAACAATCCACCCACCCCATGATGTTCTCCAGCTCTTACCCGGACGCGTGGCCAACCGCACGGCGCGTGTTTCCTGCATTAGCCCACTCCATATACATTAAAGCAGGGCAAAGGTCAGTTTTGCTGTCAGGTAATTTACCGAGGGACTGTTATGAAAATAATCTCTGCCTACTCACAATAAATCAGGCCCTACAAATAGAAGAGCCAGCACGCAATTAACTGGTTTTATTGTTTTCCCTAATCGTTTGCAGCAGTTTTTTTGCAGGTCCCCCCCCCCCCCTCCTTTTCTGTAGTTTACCATCCATGGGGTTTTTGCAGATAAAGATGGGAGATAATTTTTAAACACGGCTAATAAGCTAGGTGATTGAAGAGTGTACTGGATCTGCTGCTCCAGCAATTTCAGCCTCAAGACTCACAGCTTCAGGCCATTCCCTAGCCGAGGGCACCCCCAGTCTGACACTGGGAGGATGCTTGTCCAGCTGGTGAGAGGTCTTTATGGAATGTCATCATTTTCCTGCATCTACTGGCCTTGTCACTTCAGCATCTGCTGCCCTTTCTCTCCCTGCCTCCTTCAGGGACCTCGCACCTTAATTTTTCCTTCCTCAGCCTCCGTGCCTATTTTTTGGCTCAGCAGCAGGGGTGAGGAGAGAGGGACCCCTGCCCCAGGCACATCTCGGAGAGGGTGCACAATGTCCCTGCCTGAAACGGTGAGGGGAGGCAGTTCTGCAGCACAGGCAGGAGGGAGGTGACGGGGCAAGAGGGGCAAAGGGGAAGGAACCCCTGGGGCAGATCTGGCAAAAATGCAGCATTTCAAGCATCAATATTGGTCATCTGTCAATGATGATCAGAAGAGATAGTCAGGGAACATTGAAAGCACTTGCTGCACGTCTAAAATCTGTGACCAGAACAACGTAAATATGGTGGCTAAAGTCTTCATGGAAGTAGACTTTTTAAAAAAAGAAAAAAAACCCCAACTTTTAACATCAGTATTCTGTTCACCACAGAGGGATAGAGGATTCTTGGACAAGTGCATTATCCCCAGTGTGAGAACATATTTTTCCCTTCAATATACTATAATAAAGAAATCTCTTCTGATAGCTCTTGCTCAGCCTGGGTCCAGCCCTCACCTGACCTCTTGCAATAAGATTTCTCCTGAAACTGGAGCAAGTTTGCGCTAAAAAAAACCAACAAAACACACTTCCAAGACTGCTGAGTGCTTTGCCACAATCTCTGAGGAGCACAGGTTGTCAGCGAACTCCCCAGGACCCACCACACAGAGGCAGGTTGGCTCTCTGGCTCACTGCTTTGTACGGCCACAGCCAAGTGGGCTCAATCTGCATCTCCCCTTGGCAAAGCAGCGGTGACTGAGCTGGCCCAGAGCAAAGCACACCATCAACACAGAGCGGAGGCACTCGCCGAGACCCAGCTCCTTCAAGCTCCATCTATAAGCCAAGCTCTGAGGGTAGAGGTAGCTCCAGCATTTTTCCAAAACCACCATAGAAGCCACGTGAACTTCCCCATGTCCTGAGAGCCAAGGTCTCACAGTTCCCCAGGGTATCACCATCCCCTAGAGTACTTACAGCATGTGGTAGGAGCTTGGTCCCTCAGAAGGACCCATTAAAGAGCTGATTGCAACACCTGTAACCTATGTAGATCAAAATCACAAAAGAATGGACTGCAACTGGCTTGTGCTGACCTCCAGGTGATCATGTAATGGTGCAAAATGTTGAGTTAGTCAGTTTAAACATGTCTTGTGTTTAAACATGAGCTGCCATCAAACCTTTGCCCTGACATGGAGCATTCTCTGGGTCCTTTGCCCTACCACCAGCAGCAGGGTCTGCCCTCTGAGGAGTGTCCCAGCGTTGCCCTCTGAACCACACATGCTCAGCCTCAGGTATGGCAGGAAAGCATCCTCCAGATCATGCACAAGTTCATCTGTGGACC